GCTGGGCAGGAACCAGGCTGGCACACCTCCTCTCAGGAGCATCCCTTCTTTTTGGCATTTGTGTAAGTACTGTGCAGCAGTGCTATGAGTCCGGAGTGTCCAAGCACTTCCCATTTCCAAGCAAGCCCCCAAAGCTTCCCGTTACTTAGCTGAGATGGTCTGGTTTTGTGCTAGTGTTCAATTACTTACTGAAATGCGACTTCAGCAGCAGCTAGAAAGGCAAGATTTCCTCGTCTCATTGTCATTTGCTAATTAAACCTAACAAGAAAAAGCTCATTAACTTGTATCATTTGAAAGGTTCTTAGTACACTGATGGAGGCAGGGTGAGCAACAGGTTAGAGCTGGAAATAACATATGTGCACACAGACATCCTAGACCCACCAAAGGCAGCTGCAGTCCCGATTTCTTTGCCTTGCAATGTGTCAAACCCCACTTTGTGAGGAAAGACTCCATTTTAGCCCTTCCACAGCTGATAAGAAACAGATGCTAAACATCTCCTAACATTCTAACACACAGGACTATTCTTTAAGAAGATTTTGTATGACTGGGAAAGAGATGCCAACATAAAAATGGAGTCAAAACCAATTTAGCAGGTTATCACTAAAGAGTATTTAGGAACTTCAAAGCCAGAGGCAAATTGCAATACTGCAGTTTTTCAGACACTGCCTGGAGGGCCTAAACGTCCTTGATACCAGCAGACAAGTCAAATCATGAGTTGAGGAACCCTAGCAACACGAAGAAAACCCTATTGTGCTTGAAAATCTTTCCCTTCCTTTCAGGCAATTTTCCTGGTGCTTAAAGTTTCTGGGCAGGGTCTGCAGATTGCCAGCTGTCAGACAGCAAGGAGCACCCTGATTCATCCAAGATAAACCAATCAAAAAACTTCTGGCTTCATACTAGACTGTATAACCTTTAAGCCAATGGCTGAATCCATCACTGATTTTGTAGGGGTAAGAAAGAAGACAAGAGAGACTATAAGAAAAGCTTTAAAAGAATTTTTTTTTTTTTTTCAAAAAGGCAATGTGCTGGTCAAAAAAACTCCACAAGCCTTCCAACACTGAAGAGATGTTCTCCCTGTGACCCTCTCTCTCCCACCCTCTTTCCTGTGGTCTGCAGCGCTGTTTATTCTGCCTTTCACTTTATATAATGGGTCTGGTAAAAGTGTTCTAAGTACACATTCGATTTACAATAAAAACTGCTTTAATAAAGACATCTAACTTGACGGAAGGTCAACTAAAAGACAACAATTCGCATAAACCAAAACCTCCTGTGTAAATAAACAGGATTTGCAGGAGCCTCAGGATGTCAGACAGTCTGGCCAAGACTGCAGAGAGGGAGTCTCTCTGTGCAGAATTACATTTGGGGATGCGCAGGAGCAGAGCTTACCAGCCCAGCACCGATGGCCACAGCAGCCTCCCACCACACTTGGGAAACCCAGAGAGCCACATGCAGGAATGAGGGAGGCCAGGGCCACTTGCAGAGCCCTCATTCCCCAAAAGAAGCAGAGTCACAGCCCAGGCCAGCACACTCGGGATGGGTCCAGGTTCAGCACCGCACACCACACCAATCGAGAGGTAGCAAACACGGGCGTGAGGGCAGCAGAGCTGGCTTGCAGAACGAAGCTTGCGGCGGCGGACTTTGGGCAGACGCAGATGGAGAAAGCACGATCTTGGCCACTGTTGCTAACAATGCATCGAGGAGCAGATGAGGCGCCAGCAACATTCCTGGGCCGCTAGCTGCGGTAAACAAAAACAACCCCAAACCCCGTGTGTGCAAACATCCACGATGCTGTTTTCTCCGTCTGTTCCCCTGCAGCCAAGCACCCTCCAGCTCTACTGCACTGAGACTTGAGTGTCAGCCACAGACCCCCTCGGCCCCCGTGCATGGGCAGGCAGCAGAGGAGCTGGAGGGTGCAGGAGCAGAATACTTGAGCAGCAGCCAACTGCTCATGCTGCTTCCCAGCCAGCACCCCTTCCCCTCCAGGAGTCAGGCCTGCAAGACCATCCCTTCTCTCTCCAAGAGTCACCTCTGCGTGGTTATTTCACTCCAACATGCCATTTACAAGTGAGCTGCAGTTTCAAGACCTTACGCACGCTCTGCTCCCCTCTAGGAATCGCAAATAAATCACCAATTACTATGCATGAATAGAGAGAGGAAGAGGGTAATGAGTCTATGTACATATATACATATGCAATGTTTGAACACAAAGAGCCGTAAATTGCATTCACAGGTGGTATTCTGGAGACTGCAAGAGACTCAAAAGCAGAACTATTCATAAACCAGTCACTGACATGAATGAATTCAGCATTCCCCAGAAGCCTATTGTGTTTCCTATATATTACACTATAAATATGAGGAGTATCAGACTTTGCATCCCTGTAAAAAAAGGAGGTAAATCTTGCAACTACACACAGGATTAGCACTGGCTGGCACAAGTATTAATGGTCTCATCGCTGCATGAGGATTATTTACAGCACTTGCTCTATTTTCCCATTTTGTACTTGCTGTGATGAAGTGCCACTTGTTTAAAGAACCCTGTAACAAACACTGCAGCAAGAAGGGGAAAAAACCAGCAGAGATCTACAAATGTTACACCCACATGCCAGATGTGGGTTTTCAAACCCTGGCTTCGTAGTTACTTGGATTCGGGTAGGTAGTTAATGCTTGATATATTATATTAAATCATCCACCATCTCTTTCCATAACCACAATTCTTCCTTCAGTGATTTTAATGAGTTTGCAAGAGGAAAAAGAAAAAAAAACAGTTGCATTTCTTTTTCTTCAAATTCAATACACAGTATGTTATCCCTACATTCTAGAATTAACATTACTTGTTTGGAAAGCAACAGTCCTTTTCTAGCCAGTCCCATATTTATGTTACAAAAGAGGGACTTTTACTCCAGCCACTTCTCCACTAAGTCAAATGATGTCTTAGCTTTACAAAGAGCAACCTAAAGCACTTCTGTGCGACTCGAGGCTTTGAGGCACAGCCCCACATCCCCAGTTTTAATAAAACCAGCAGCTGGGCAAATGCAGATCAACTGGCTTGAAGAAGTCCAGGTGAAAAACACCAAAAGAAAACTAACTCCAAGCACACACGTGGCAAGCTTCCTACGGCTAAAAACAGCCTCACGTTTAGCACTAGGAGGCCAACACAGTGTTTTTACGAACTAGCTACATCTGCGGGATTGGGAACCACTGAAAAGCAGCCGATCCTCCCAGCAACAGATGACACCGCAGCAGCTCTTTCCCCCCCGGGGGAGGGCAAAGGCAGGTTAGAGCCAGTTTTAGGTCAAACCCAGAAAGCCTGTTCCTGCAAGCAGGGGGGTCGGGACAGCCTTGGCAGCGGGCCCGGCGCCGTGAGAGCACCAACACGGGCTGGTGGGTTCCCACTTCTGTACCGCCGCGGGGAGCCTTCGGCAAGGCGATGGATGATGCCCTCTGCTGCTCCGCCGCCGCAGCAGCCAGGCGTGCTTCGGAGCAGGGAACACACCGACCGACCGCTCCATATTAGGAATCCTTAATCCAGAATGGTGTTATTGTTCTTCAGCAGGAGAGACTGAGCGTGCGAAGACAAGGCAGGGAGCGAGTGCCCTTCGCCTACACCCATCTTGCGGGCTGCGACAGACTCGCGGAGCAAGGCCACCCCGGATAAACTTAGCTTGAAGACAGGGGTTTTTTTAGGGAACCCAAGGGAGAAAGCTAGTGGTTAGGGGAAGTTTGAACCTCCTCCAAAACCATCTCAAAGAGTTCTCTCTCTTTTTCTTTGCTAGAGACAGACAGAGTGCTTGAAAACACACACACACACACACAAATTACAGACATGGAAGCATGACTGCAATTCAAGTAAAGATTTTGTTTCCAAATTGGCAGAGCAGGTTAAGTATGTGACAATTTCTCAAGACAGTGAAATTGCCAGCCTTGCCGCTTCTTCCCTCCACAGCATTAATGTCAGCAGAAAATCATACCAATGAAAAGGCAAATCAAAACAGCTCCCAGGTTGCTCTGTACATAAACAGGCAGAAAGCAGCATGGGGTTGCTGTACAATATTTTCCACAAATGTTTCTATCAACTCATCAGTACTTAAACCTGGCACATGGTCTGCTACTAAAAATGTAAGAGGCATTTTAATTGTCTTGTATTCTGCTTTCCCCAAATTTGTAGGAAGGGATCTTGCATTGCTACAGCCTCTCTCACCCAGCAGTGGGGTCCCAGAGGACTTTACAGAAGTGCAGAGTGTCATCCCCCGGGCAGGCACTTGTGCGATGGGACAAAACCACACGTTTAACGGTTCGCAGGGTACAAAACGCAGGCAGAGCAAAGGGACTACAGGAGGAGTTTGAGAGACAGCACAAAGCACTCAAACTGCATTTCACGGCAGCAGGGACTGCCTTCCCTCTACATTTCAACGCGCTCTTCGACAGCCAAGCAGAGCACTTTGTTTTTGCAGCCTACCTCACCCCAGGCGTTTTCTCTGCTTTCATTGTGCAAGCTCAGCACAGACCCGTATAAACTCCCTACCCTGACGTCTCCCCTCCGAGATGCCCCGTGACCCCAGCAGGAGCAGACCCGGGCCGGTCGCTCGCCTTCCCCAAGTTGATGCCGGAGTCCAGGCACGGAGGAGGTGCCCGTCCCCTCCTCTCCCACACCCCGGCCGGACCCCGCGCCGCGCCCCGGCGAGGATGGTCACCGGGGTACTGCAGGTGGACATGAAACCGTGATTTGTTACATATATATATATATATTTATATATAATTTTTTCCCCACCCCATTCCTCCCTCCAACCGCTGGAGCAGCGCGGGCAGTGACAACTCCTGGGTACACGCGCTGGGCGTTTGCAAGGGGTGACCCTCCCGCACGTCCTGCGAGCGACAGCACCCACCGGCCGGGAGTGGGGGGGTGTCCCGTCTCGCCCCGCCCCTCCCGGCCGACCCCCGTCCCGTCCCATCCCATCCCGTTCTGTTCCGTCCCGTCCCACCCTTTCCCCGGCGGCACTTACCGAGGAGGAGCAGGGAGGCGAGCTGCGGCCGCAGGGTCCGCATGGCTGCCGGGGCGCGGGGCGGCGGCCGCCCGCCCTTACCTCCCGCCGCGGGGCGCCGCGGGGCTCCCGGGGCAGGCGACGCGCCGGGCCCGGCGGCACAAAGGGAAGGCGGCGGGGCCGGCACGGGGAGGCGCCAAGGCGGGCGGGGGCATCGCCCCCGCACCGGGGCGGCCGCTGCGCCTCCCCCCCGCTCCCCGCGCCGACGGCTCCCGCGGGAGAGGCAGCAGGAAAAGGGAGAGAAAAACCACGTCTCCTGCAAGGCGCGGGGAAAAAAAAAAAAAAAAAAAAGAGGAGGGGAGGGGGAGGGCACGAAGCAACAACAAAAAGACCCCACCCCGCAAAGTTACACAAAAATAAAGCGGGGCGCCGCGCCTGCCACCTCGGCTCGCCCTGGCCCGCCGCCCTCACCTGCCCGCCCGCCCGCTCAGCGCCGCCGCCGCCGCGGGGTGCCCGGCGCTGCCTCCCGCCGCCAAACCCCTCCCCGGCCCGCCCCGCACCGCCCCGCACCGCCCCGCGCCCCCGAGCGGGGCGGGCAGCGCTGCCGGGATGGGGCCGCCGAGCGTGCCTGTGGAGCGCCGCTCGGGGTCGGGGAAGAGCTGTGGGGGTAAACCGGGTTCTTTTGTTTTAAAAGGAAAACAAACAAACAAAAAAAAAAAAGAGAGAGAGTCCTCGGTGGCGCGCTTCGGAAACGCGGCTTCTTTTGGGACAGGCATAAATGAGCCCTTTTGTCCCCGTGCGAACCAAAAATGACAGCCGGGCCTTGCTAAGTTTCGACCAACTCGTGGCTGTCCTGCTGCGATGCGCTTGTTGTGGAGACCCGAATCTTGGTATTAATGCCAGGTTGCCAGATTTTCACACACTCCTCCCCACCCAGCCCACAGCAGTGTGCAGACACTGCTGCACTTAGGATGCTGCTCAGGCAATCAAAACTGCAATGTGTCAATGGCAGAAATGCGTCCTGGTAACACTGAAATGCATAAGTATCGAAGCACTGGGGGCTGGGGTTTTGGTTGTTTATAAATAAAGGACAAATGAGATAGCCCTTCCCAAGCATGCAGATGTTCAAATGTCTTTGCAAACAACCTCCCCAGTAGCTTGTTTGCTTACAAAAATAAGAAAAGAGACCAGGAGCAACAGCAATAGCAGAAGGAAATATTTTCCTAGTCTTCCCATTCTCCAAAGACCCTTTACAGGAGATCCTTCTGCCTACACAGAGACCCCAGTGAAGTGTTGGTGATGCAAATGCAGGGACCCAGCCCTTCTGTGCCACAGACAGGCAGAAACCAGCACAATCACAAACTGTCTAATAAAACATGCCAAGTCCTTAGAAGCTGTACCCAGCAGAAGTCAGAAGCTGTCTGTATTACCATATGGTCTTGCTTCCCAACGTGGCTGTCGTGGCAGATGCGTTGATAGCCAGCTCCTACTGACCCAGCAAATTCTGTTTCTGCAGGCTAATGATGTTAAGCGTGCCATTTTCAGAGCGGAAAAAGAAGCATTTAATTTGCAGCTTTGCCATGGTCTCTGAACAGAGGAACCAAAGAACAGGGTAACCAGAGATGTGGGACAGAAAGGGTCAGTGCTGTATTTGCACTGAAAATGAAACTCACGCTTTGGCCCTTAAGCTTTAATTTCATCAAGACTGCCTTCAAGTGAGGCTTGGAAAAGGAACGGAGGTAATGATAAGAGTTGATAGAAAATACCAGTCTATTTGGCTTTTCTCTTAGGTGATTTGAGGGTTGAAATGTCATCCAGTGTAATATCACTCAGCTTGCCCAATATTTTTCATGTGCAGCCTCCTATTTTAAGTCCTCACGGGCAAGCCCATGAGTATACAGAGCAAGCACTGTGGGGCTACTTTGAAGTAAACGGCCAACATCTTTAAATGGAGGCAGGATAAAGATAATTTACTCTAGTGCTTCAAAAGATTTATAACTAGAGAAACAAATAATAGCAAAAGGAAAAAAGGCAAATTAAGAAATACAGGGCACAGGCAGGATAAACTCAATAAAAAAGAATTATTAAAGCTTGGTGATACAAGATAGTTTTTCTAGATGGCAAGGGATATAGACCACAGACTCATGACATTCCTATATGGACACATTATTTTCACCTTCAGATGAAGAGAGAGAGCTGAAAAACTGGCATGATTCAGGTGAGCTCCCGGGACAGGTCAGGGACAAGCCTGGTTTCTTGGCTTTGAATACATTGCTTTTGCCAGTGGAGCCTGCTGGAAGATAATTCAAGATGAATTTGTGTGTATTCTTTCTATTTCCAGGCACTGTGTGACTTTACAGCATACATGCTCCTAACAGGAGCATAAAAATGCCCTGCAAAAATGTTATCAGAGATTCACTAAACTCACATTCTCTTCTCAGAGCTCTTGCAGAGTATTGCATTAATGCATAGTTACAATAAAAATATAAAAAGACCATGGAAATGACATTATAGCATTATAAGATTAATCCAATTCCAGTCAAATTAGATTATAATAAGAACTGTGTGTGCTAAAGACTAATAATGGGAACCTGTGTTTCAAAAGCTCCATCACCTTTGTGCGTGTTCTCCTCCCTGACCCCAATAATAAAAATAGCTTGGCATTCACGAGAGCGCCCTTCCTCAGAGGACTTCACAAACACCTTCTCGTCTTCTGGGGAAAACACTGGCCTCACTTCTGCATCAGTGGAGAAACTGAGGCTCAGGCAGGACAGCTTTCCCAAGCCTAGGGAGGCAGCCAGCCCTCCCTCAGGCTTGGCTCTGGTGTTTCAAGCTCCCGCAGTGGGACTCTGACTCCCTGGAGACGTCTGTCTGTCCGTGTGGTTTATTCACATGGCCAAATGGAAACAAACACCACAGTCACCTCAAAGACAAAACCGTTTCAAGCACAAGGTTACTTGTGAAGTAGCTTTCCAGGAAGACAGATCTGGGCTGCCTTGTACTCCCAGCACAACTGACTCATTCAGGAGCACCGTGCTCAGCAGCAGCCGGATCATTTTGGTCGGGCCACGCGGTTGCTCTTTGGCAGCGGGGTGGCTGTAATAGCTGGAGGCAGACGGGCGTGACTCAAGTGATGCTGGTGATACACTCACTAGGTCGCAACCCACACCACCGTCTTTCTTATTGCTCAGTCACTGCCAGCAGTTTGCTTCCCCTTGGCAGGCGGGGGTTGAGACTGGACAGCAGGAGCTCGCTCTTAGGGAGAAGGGGAAATGATCCCACGTGCTGACGAGCTGTTCTGTGCTCATACCAAGTCATAGGTTCTTCCCCTTCTCTTCTGCAGGAGAAGCACAGCCAACAGGTGCCTGCAGCCCGGGTGAGAAGCAAGGCTGGGTGGCTGCTGTGTGGCCGAGGGCCATCAGGGTAGATAGATCCCAAACCCCTGGGCTGCCAGAGGCTGCTGTAATACAACAGCTGTGACTGAGAGCTGAGTCCTTCGCCCGAGGGAAGCAAAGTGACATCAATATCCAGACTCTGAATATGCTGCTTGCCCGATGTGCACAGGCGTCCCGTGACCCACAGATGATGAGTGAAGTAAAACTGTTGTTTGGCCCTCAGAGAGAAGAGGTTTGGCAGAAGTGCAACATATGTACGTTATGAAATAAGAATGCTGGTCCTTCTTCCGGACAAAAAACTGCACTCCCTCAACTTCTGGACCCACTGGGTATTAGCTCCACTCCTCTGATGAGCAGGCAGGGGAGGCAACAATCGCAAGATGGATTTGCATCCTTTAGATTTTGGAGCAGGCGGTTACCTGGGTGACTAATGGTAACAAACTATAGCAAAAAGAGGACTAGGCTGAATCGAGCAAGGCAGGCCTGTCTTGTTTTCAGCAAGGCAGGAGACTCCTGACTCCTCGGCAAGTCAGAAGGAATGATTTCTTTCCTGTAGGAGAGGGAAAGAGATTGTGAAGGGGAGGAGGGGGAGATTTAACCACAGTTGCAGGAATGACTGCCTCCTTGAGGGCAATGTCTCTGCCCAGAGCTGGAGAACAGAAAAGTCTGTATGGTTTGCACAGGGGGAGGTGTATCCACAGCCCCCTCCTCGGAGGCCACCTGAGCATTTTGGTTGGAGCAATCAGAATCAAACCATCTAGAAACAGAAAGCACTTAAAAAACAAAATCATCCTGTGTGATTTGCCCAAGATCACACAACACAATCCACAGAACTCAGGGTCTTAAGCCTGCAGATGTGCTTGGGAGAGTGTCACAATCAGGTCAAAGCTCCTCTGCCACATTGTGAAAGGGAGAGGAAACACATCTAAAGCTCTGGTCTCAAGTGGGGAGGAATGGCCAGAGCCACTTATTTTAACAGAATCATTGCCTAAGACATTTTCTCCAGATCTTATTTACTCTGTGAAGTTTTGAACATCAGTTTCACCCAGAGGAAAAAGAAGATATTTATATTTAATGGCCAACATTTAAGCTCCTTTAAAATGAGCTGAGAGGTTGCAGTTGGAACAGAAAGAAAACCCTTACTACTGTGGCACAAAGTAGCACTGCTGCCATTGCAGGGAAGCTGGCATCTAACTAGACTGAGGTTTTGGGTCTAGCTGAGCCTAGATTGCACCCCAGGACCAGTATGCCAGTCCACAGATGGCACCAAGGCACTTACCAGGCAACCCTGTGGATCTGCAGGAATTTCCATTTGTGTGCCCTGGAAAGAGGGATGAGGAGAGGGAGAAGTAGAGAGAACAAGAAAAAAAAAAAAAAAAAAAAAAAAAAACAACCCTGTGTAAAGATAGATCGACACATTTCCAGATTTTCAGGACATCTGTCAGCAAGCCCCAGAGTGTATGGCAGCTAATCCCTTTGCAGATTTTCTTTTAACTGTTGCTTGACAGAAGAGTATGCCAATCTTTTCATAAATGTACTCATATCTGAAGTTGCACTCTGCCTGAGGTTATGATCTATCTGTGAGGAAAAACATTACACTGCCAGCTTGGGAAATGACATTAGGGAAACATCTCACTGAGAAACACACAGCAGCTTCGAGCTTTGAAATATGTGCTGAGTGAAAGGTGTTTCCTGAAG